AGAGGGGGAAGGGGAAGGAGAGGAAGAGGGGGAAGGAGAGGAAGAAGGGGAAGAGAGGGGAGGGGAAGGAGAGGAAGATGGGGAGGGAGAGGAGGGGGAGGGAGAGGAACTAGAAGAGGAGGAAGGAGAGGATGCAGAGGAAGGAGATGAGGAAGAAGAGGGACAGGAAGGAGGAGAGGAAGAGGGGGGAGAAAGAGAACAAAATGAGATGTATGGTGATGACAATGAGGAAGAAGAAGCATATGGTGGGGAAGAAGGGGAATATAAGGAGATAGGTAGAAAAGAAGATGAAAATGAAAGTAAGGGAGACCGAAAACAGCCTCAAAAAGTGAGTAAAATAAAGGGTTCTATGAAAAATAGCAGACATGGAACACATTCGGAAAAGTCTGGTACTAACCCAGGGAGAAGGGGGAAAGAGCAGAGGTCTAAAATGCCAGTGGAGTCAAAACAACTTTTAGAGAATGGACTCCCAGGTTCCAAAAAATTCTGGAATAATGTTTTACCACTTTATTTGGAATTGAAGTAACAGAGTAAATTTGACCTGATTATGGACAGTGAAGTCATTTGCATGCCTTATGCATAATAAATATACTCACTACAGATTAGTAAACTGATTTGTTCTTATGGTTCTGTTACACACGGTTAAAAAAACAACTGATGTCAGTTGTGCAAAGAAGATAGCAAAGGCAACAAGAGGGGTTGTTAAGTCTTGATTCCTCCTAAACTCATATCTGTTACCCCCAAATTACTAATCTATAACTAGAAAATACTAAAAGGCTGTTTGTTGTAGTTAACATTGTCTATTCCTTATGAATGAGAGATTTATATACTATAAGTACTCTGTATTTAAAACTCAATCTTTTAAAAATGGTACAGATGCTTAAGGGCTATCAAAACTTGAAATTTGTAATAAATATTTAAGTACCCCTTTTTAGTCTCTACTACCTAGAATATTTTAATAAGAATTGATGTTATTGCCAGGCAGTGGTGGCACACGCCTTTAATCTCAGCACTCAGGAAGCAGAGGCAGGTGGATCTCTGTGAGTTTGAGGCCAGCCTGGTCTACAGTGTGAGTTCCAGGACAGCCAGGACTACACAGAGAAACCCTGTCTTAAAAAAAAAATAAAAAATAAAAAAAACAAAAAAACAAAAGAATTGATGATAACTGAGGTGAGAAATTCATATTTTAAAGGAATGAAAATTTTTGTCCCTTTTGATAAAAATCTATAAAGAAACAGCTGTTTTACGCCTTAGAGGCTAATAATTTTGTCTCTTACAATTGCTATCTAGGTATATGACATTATAGCTCATGAAATGACAGTCAACTTAAGCATATAATATAGCGGTTCGTAGAAGTTTAAGTGTTTCAAGAAGAAAGTTTTATATTAAAATTCATTTTTCTGCTCTTAAAAGTTATGATAACTTTAATGTCTCTTGTCTTTTGTGATTGTAAATTTCTGAACTCCAGTCATTTCTATTTTAACTCTACTGTCAGTGATTTCATTCTTCATGTGTGTTGTGTCCTCAATATATTTTCATTGACTTTTGTAATTTTGTCTGTTACTTTTCAGAATTTTTCAAGTAAAATAAAGATTAAATGTATATACTCAATATTGTTTGTGGAAAGAAAAACTGTCTAACATAAGATACTGAACTTTTGAGAAGTCAGGTTCACTAGATTTTATATAATACAGCTAGTTTGATTGTCTGTTCTTTATTTCTTTTTCATGGATTCCCTGTCTCATCTTTTCCATACCTTGGGCATGAGTGATTTCTTATACATTTTTCAAGGAAGACTTTCATGGTAACTTTTGTGAATTTTGTGTAGTTGAACTCCATACATTTTATTCTCTGTGGAAATCAGCATGAGGTAGATGACAAGAATCAAGTGAAGTAGCATTTCCTTAGAGCAATCTGTAAATTATAACTTGCTGCAAAGATAGTTGCCAGCGTTCCCTGAACACTGGACTCCACTATTTTGACAGTGTAATCCTTGGCCAGAGTCTACCATATTCATTGTTGTAGAGTAGAATTAAGAGTGCGATTGAGTATGTATACCAAAGGTAATTATTTAAAAATAGATTTGAAAAGATTAAATAAGAGGGATGGCAGCCATCGAGATCATAAAGGAAATTCATATGAGAATGCCCGGGAGACAGGAATCTAAACACCCAGTTATTTATGGTAAAGGCAGAGGCATTCGTTTTCCAAGAAGAGCAGTACTGACGCGTTCTTGATGTCAAATGGCACCTATTTTACCATTTGAACCGATAGAGATATTCCCTTTCGAGCAGCATTTCTTACCAATTTCTTTGCATTTCCCTACTCCCAAACTTGGTGCACCCTTTAGAAGTAGTAATTCCTGCAAGTTACAGTCAAAAGAGCATTTGCATAGTCTTTGAGTTTAGGGCCCTACTTACAGTGTGTGCTTTCAAGCTGTATGAAGTTACACCAGCTTCTTCGCCTTTGTAGGTGTCTGTTTTTTTAAATGCATACAGAATTAGAATGGGAGACCTAAGTGATGGGAACAGCTATAAAAGCCTCTGGCTACAAACAGCTTTGTTATAACTTTGCCACACCAGACTTTCTACTATTCCTGTTCCTCATTTAAAAAAAAAAGGCTTAAGTCTAGTCACAAAAATCACCCAGGCTTCACACAAATGAAGTTATATGGAAGTGAGCAATAGCCCTAAATAAAGCATGCTAACTTTCTTTACCCAGTGTTCAGCTAACACATTAAGTCACATAGGTAGCAGGCCCAATACTCTCTAAAGCTTATGGATAGGAGTTTTGTGGTGATTAGTGATACATTGAGACAGCGTATAAAGGAACATAAGCTTTCACAAGTAGAAGTTATTCCATATGTACAAATGTCATCATTAGAGAAAAAGACAAGTGAAGGATAAGATCACTTGATCCCTTATGACAGCTGCTTACATAGATTTCAAAAGCTAGTTCTTATTTATTTTGTTTTTGAGACAGGGTCTCTCAAAACCCAGGCTTGCTTAGAAAGTATTTTGCTCACTGCATAGCCAAGGATGGCCTTAAACTTCGGATCCTTCTGTCTCTACCCTTCCAGTGCTGGGATTCCAGGCACAGTATATCTGCTGATTACTCAAGTGTTTGCTGTAGTTTGCTAGTCATTGCGGGGAAGGTGAGGCACTGTATATGTAGAATCCCTTGAGGTACAGTTTCCTAATGCGAACAGTGGCAGAAAGAGACATTCAGGTAAGCTGCAGAGAATTGCTGCAGAACATCTATGGCTGCTCGACGGCAGCCGTCAAGGTGAGTGACCCTGAGATGTGTTTTGATTGATAGTGACTCACTGTAGAGATTGGCTTACGTGGTGTGCTCTCTCCCACCAATGCAATAGTGAAGGAAGGTACTATAATCTTTTCCTTCACTCTTTTCATTATGAAAGTTTGGTGTCATATAGCATGATTAGTTCCTAACATACAGTTTCATGTCTGGCACTTATTATTGGATCAAGTATTTATGTATCTGGCACCAAAAAGTGAGTGGTCTTCCTCAAGTCAGATAGACGTCAAGTGAGGGCAGGTTACAGTCAGCCTCCCATGGCCCTCTTCTCCCTTCCCCCATCACAACTGCAGGAAGACTAAAGATATATTTCTCCAAACAATGCTTGGAAACACCGAGGAACCTCTGCTATGATCTTTTCAATTTTTAGCATGTTTTTTCTTAATTATATGCTTGACTATTTCTTAACAGTGCTGTTTTTTGTTCTGCTCCTGTATCCCTAGCCAAAGTCAGGTTAAGATGAAAATTCAGTTCCAAAATGCTTGGGTGGCTTGCTTTTTAAAAATAGACTAATTAAAGATAAGTTTTGTGTCTTGGCTATGTAAGACTAAAGATATGGCCCCTGACTTCAAAGAACTCTATAAGGCAGCAGGAAAAGTCATTATTACAACAGAGTGTGTTAGCAGAGTAACTTCAGCTTTTATGTGAAAGGGTTGAGAATGAACTTACCAGGAGAGTAGGGAAACTTAGGAATGAATCATGTTGATTAAAACTTAACCAGCAAAGGGTCTTACATGCTCGTACAAGATGTTACAGGGAAAAAGAATAGAGTGGCTCCACTTGAGGATGCGTACAGTTATTCTGCAGCAATTTGAAGAATGATTTGAAGCAGGCAGGAGCACTGGTATGGAAGGTAGGAGCCAGTTATAGTAGACCAGGTAAGAGTGAAGTAGGCAGTGGGATGAAATAGGGGATGAGGATGGGGGATGTGTATCAGGGAATTAGAGGGTTTAGGACGAAGATGTAGCTAGGAGGGAAGAGGCCTAGAGAACTGGGTGGAAAGAGTGCTGTCAGTCCAGGACGACAGTTCTGCATTTGCTAGCTTGTGATGGTCTCCAGGAGGCGTTCAGTGTACAGGTCACTACATGTGTGTGGAGCTCAGTAGATGTTGCTGGCAATCACTAGCTTATGTATCTAGTTAACTAGGTCTAGTGAAAGCATTCTTGTGACTAGAGCACCTCAGGAAGGATTCAGGAAAAACATCAGTAAGTGGGAAGTTAGACACAGTGGTCCCCAACCTATGGGTCATAACCCATTTGGGGACCACATATCAGATATCCTGCATATCAAATAATGCATACATGCATATACATTACTATTCATAACAATACCAAAATTATAGTTATGAAATAGCAACAAAATAATTTTATGGTTGGGGTCACCACAGCATGAGGAACTGTATTAAAGGGTTGCACCATTAGGAATGAAACTTGAGAACCACTGAGTTAAAGAATAGTAATGAAGTTGAGGAGTAAAACTTAGAGAAAAGATGTGGGGTATATTCTGGGAAAGAATTCTACCTAAGCTAAGAATTGGTTTTAGGGAAGAAGAATTGATAGCATCGAAACAGTGCCAGATGGGGGTGGGGGCCTGATGGAGGTCTACAGCAAAAGAAAAAAAGGAAAAGGAAGAAAAAGAACTCCCGGAAGTCTGCCTTGCACAAAAATAGAACCCGAACTATACTTAACATTCTGAAAATTATCAGTCAGAGCTGCTGGCATTGTTCTCAGGTCAGGAAGGAAGATGTACAATGCAGAGATTTGGATACTTAGGATAAGACTTCCTAACTTTTATTTTGCACTTGATGCAAACAATGAAACAAGAATAGGATGTCCTTGTTGGAAACTTAGAAAATAAAATCATCTGCAGTGTTTAAAATATCAGTGAGTGGGGAGAACATGGCTCTTATGACCTTCAAATTATTTGGACAGATTTGGGGAAGACCAGAGCCTCTATAGTCATGACCTCAAAGCCAGCCCTCACTGATTACCCTTGTAAATACTGGGAAAGAGTTTAGTTTTTAGTGCTTGAAGCACAGAGAATTTTATTCCACTCATGTGGTTAGCAAAAATGTATGAGTACAAAAGGAAATGAATTGTCTATCTAAGGAAAAGGAAGGAGAATGGCATAGAATAAATGTAAATGTGAGAATAAAATGCCTACCACTGCAGTATACAGTACTCTGAACAGTACATTCACTTTTGCAGGCTTGCTTCTCAGTCAGCCTGGAATGTATAAAGTAGCTACAGTAAAAGATGAGAAATGAAATAAGGAATTACGTGCAGAAAAAAACAAGACTTTTTTTTTTTATGAAGTCATGTCATAGGAAGATAAGAATCCAGAGATGAAACTGGCAGCTTGTAGGCATACCCTGACCTGTAGACTTTATTTTTGCTTCCTGTGCAAATAAATGATTTGGTTTAATTCAAATTGTTTGCCAGTATTGAAATAAAGCAGATTCTATAGTAAATATATATATATATAATTTGAAAAATACAAAAATATTTTGTTCTCAAAACATTGTAATAAGTTGAGTCAAATTATTTTAAAAACAAAGCCCTATAGATTACCTAAGCAAAAAATAGCTAATCAAGTTAAATAACTGTTTGGTTTAACTCGCCATCTGAAGCACTGTTTGTTACAATTTCCGTAGCGAGAAAGCATCATACTAAGTGCTAGCAAGGATGGAAAACCATAGGAACTTTGATTTTTTACATTAAAATACAGAATTTAATATGCATAATTAGATACTTTTCTGAAATATCTCGTTTGTTACCTTAAGCATCAAGTCACAATGGCCAGTTAAAAGAATCTCTAAGATCTTCATTTTTAAAAAAGTAATATTCCATAGTTACACTCCAAAAAGTCTACAATGTGTGCTAGCACACCAAAAAAGCTTTAAAAGAAACTCTGTAACTTTGCCCAAACTGTTTTAAAATTTTGATTACAGAATCACTTTTTTGAGATTTAAGAGTCACAATATTTCTCCCTTCCCCTTCCTCCTAACGTCCCATATACCGGTGACTCCTTGTTCTCTTTCAACGCCATGGATTCCTTTTTCATTAACAGTTATCATATGCATATATGTGTATATACATATGTATTCCTAGATATAACCTGCCAAGTCTGTATAATATTACTCATATGTATGTTTTCAGGGCTGACCATTGGTACTGGATAACCAATCGGTGTGCACTTTCCTGGGGAGACTAATTCTCCTACTCTGAGGATTTCTTAGCTGCCTCTTGTTCTTTGTGTAGAGTTGAGGCCTCACGGGCCTGTTCATTTTGGCATGTCTGCTGGTATTTTTGTTTAAGTTGTCATGTTAATGAAACATTGTGGATGCCGCTTCTCACATTACTTAGAGGCACAGTCTCTGAGCAGCCTTCCTGATTGATCCTCTGGCTCTTTTGGTCTTTCTGTCCTCTTTGCCAAAATGTTCCCTGGGCCTTAGGTGTGGGAGTGTGTTATAGATATTCCTGGTGGGACTGGGCCTTAGGTGTGGGAGTGTGTAATAGATATTCCTGGTGGGACTGGACTACCCAACACTGGATTTTGATTGGTTGTGATTTTCTGTAATAATCTCCATCTATTGCTAAGAAAAGTTTCCTTAATGTATGGTGAGGGCTGCACTTATCTGTGGTTTTAAGGACAAATGTCTATTCTGCTGTTAGTGATTGGTAGTTTAGTAAAGTAGTGGTTATAGGTTGTTCTCCAGTATCTATGACTTCACTAGCACTGAGTGCTTCACTAAGTTTCCAGTATCAGACATGGTTTCCATCCTGTTGAGTACATGCTATTAGAAACTGTTGGTTGCTTTCCTCCTTTGTAAACTTGCCTGGTGCCTTCTGGTACTATGAAAGCTAGTCCTCAGGGAGTAGACATTCAGATTAGTTCCAGTTCTGAGGCCTCTGAGGCGCTGAAATTCTGGTGTCTTCAGCAATAGGAACATTCCTATTGGGGGCAACCAGGGGAATTAGCAATAGCCTAAATGTTTGGGGAGTCTTTTGGACAGCCCTGAGCAAAACCTCAAAGGAGAGCTAGTATTGGGGATTTTGTTAGGTGTTCTTTGACTCTCAGAGGGAGCTTTGTCAGCCCAAATGAGAAATTTTCATTTAATCTATGTAAATATACATGTAATTACACGTATTGTACATTCTTTTGGATAGTTAATAGTGTGATTCTTTTGACTTTTTCAGACATCCTTATTGTTAGTTTACCCTCCTCTCTCTTTATGTATTTACCTCTCCCTCCCCTTCTCCCTAAAGAACCCTTTCTTGGGGGGGTGTCTCAGCATCATTGAGCACTAAATTCTAACCCTCCACTGTCCTAAAGCTTTAGCCCAGGGTACCCTATCTTCATTGGTCACTGCAGTCCTATGGCTGTTTCTGGTAGGCACAGAACAACTTTCTTTGGAGATGAAGATAGAAAAAGTGAGTCAGTACATTGACCCATTTTATAGTGATAAGATCTGGGATCTTGTGGCAAACTGAAACATCACAAGGAATATTGACTTTTTTGATATCCCTCACAAGAAATTCAAAGAATATTGGCCTGAGACAAAGCAAAGACCAGAGCTCACTGTGGTGTGTGCCCAATGAAGTGATGTTTGAGTTGCACTTGTCTGACCCATTCACTTCTTCACTATGGTCCTAACACAAGACATAGACTTGACCATTCCAGACTATCTTTTTAAAAATGTACTTAAACTTTGCCTTTTCTTTTTATAAAATGACAGTATTCTGCCAGTCTCTCCTAAATTATCTCAATTTTAAAGGTAAGTGTTTTCTGTGGTTTATAGTAGTCCTCCAGATGTGTTTATAATACCTTCGAAGTGCTATAATTTATGTGACTTTTAGTGAAAATTACCATGTTTAATAGCATTTAAAATATGTTCATTATCTTTCTTTCTGGGTTATAAATAGCTTACCTCCCTCATAAATATTAATGAAATATAAATTTGGTGTGGAGGGGACTCTAAATCCCTGTTGTAGAAAATGAGTATAATACATAGATATGATTTTATTAAAATGCTATAGTAAGGGGGAAACTTTTTAATTTCTTTCAAGCTTAAGATCATTCTTTGGAAAAAGTCAAGAAAATCTATTTGATGTTACTAAGAGATTTTCAGGAACACTAGGCATTGTCATACAGCAGCAGACATACACAGAGCAACAACCGTAGAGTCCTCAGTGATGCAGTATCTTGATGTTCACCGGGGATTCGACAGTCATTCATGTATTCATCTTCTAAATGTGATTTCATAGTGGAAACATTCATTGAGTGCATAGAAGTTACAGCAGCAGCATCTTTATCTATTCATTAAGAAAAGGAAATCTTTCTGATCACCTTTGTCACAGGATCAGCTGCTTTTAGAAACTGTGAAGCCAGAACTGGGAGACATGGATGAGCAAATTAGTGCCCCAAATGTAGAAGGCGTTATAGAAGAAGAAAGCAAGGAAAAAGAGGAGGAACCCGTAAAAGAAGAAAACTTACCTGAAGATGGGCTTCCTGAGGCAGAAGGCTCGGAAACTATTGATGCTTTTGATGACAACCCAGATGATATCATTAAAGAGGTATGATGACAAGGGCTTATGTCTTGAGATAGCAGCTAAGAGATTGCAGTTTCCTATGGGAGAAGAAAAATATCTATGTGTCACTTCATTCATAAACTGAAAAAGTAGGATTGTCTAGTTTAGGAGCTAAGCAAACCTTGTCTCTAGAACACTTGCTACACTGCGATTAGCATTTTACTCCTGCATGAGTGGAAATGGGCACAGATAGTATACTCTTGAGAAGTGAACCAGAAAGTTGTCTATCTGTCTTTGAAATGCTTAAGATAAAAAGTTGGGAACCTAGCTGCTGGTGGCAGAAATGGCATGTGTTATGTGCATATATTGATACATATACACATGTAAATGCATAAGGCTACAGCAATATTTGAGTTCATAACCTGTTTGTCATTGATTCAGTTGAGATTCTGCCAACAATGATCAGATTAATTTCAGATGTGTGAGATGCTGAAACCCAAATGGAATGGTGTGTTCATTTTCACCTTCCAGACTACTTTCATAAAACACTGAGTTAGTCAGTTTCTAGGTAATAAAGTATTCATTCCTGCTCTGTAAAACTCTTTAATAAAAACAATCATTCTCTTTCTCCTAACAGAAACAACTACCAAAACACAGTTAACCTTATATTTGAATGTGTACTTTTAAGATACTGTATTTCTATTTTTCGTATATTTCAGTAGTGTCACATAGCTCAGATTAGCATCGAGCTCACTCTATAACTGATGACGGCCTTGCACTCTTCATCCCCGTGCCTCTACCTCCCAAGTGCTGGTATTATAGGTGTTTTCAGCTATGTGCCTGCCATTTTTAATTTAAATACTATTGTTATGTAGAAGTCATTTATTTCTTGGTTTCTCTATTTCTCAAGACTCTTTATTTTCACTGAGGGAAAACTTCCGGCAGTTATTGGTTTCCTACAGAAGGAAAAAATGATCCTGTTTGTGGAAATTTTTATTAGCCCAGGTTTTGGTTATCAGTAAGAAAAAAAGGATTAATATCAATTTCTTGTAAATTTTTGAGAGAAATTGTGTGCCATTTACCAATCTTTAGTCATCTTATAGAGAATAAAATCATACAGTTTTCTTAAGTTCATAAACTTAGTTTTATTGTTTTTTAAAGAAAAGGTCGCACTATATAGCCCTAGCCATTCTTAAACTTGCTATGTGGACCAGACTGACTTTAAGCTGTGGGAACTACCTGCTTCTGCTTCCCGAGGATTACAGGCATGTGCCCGCTTTAGAGTCACTGAGGACATTAGCAATCATGGAACATCTGAGGCTTCTCATGTCCTAGGAGCCCAGCAAAGGAAAACATTTATCACATGCTTATGTTATTGAGAGGCAGGCTCTAGAACTGCACTTCTAAACCAAAGCTAGGTTTTCCAGCACAGCACAGATATAGGAGGAGCGTTCTTTTCTTCATGTGTTTTGACATACTGTTTCTTTATTGTTTATAGGAAGAGAGTGTCAGCCTGCTGCAAAGGAACCTTCATGAGTACAATGAAAATCCTAAAGGTATGAGCATATTTGACTTTAAATGGCATTTTAAATTTATCTGATTTTTAATTGCATGTATATGTGTGTGGGTCTGTGAGAAAATCCCCTGGACCAAAAGTTTCAGATGAGTTGGAAGTTGTCTGATGTGACTGCAGAGAACTGAACCTGAGCCCTCCACAAGAGCAGCGCGCACTCTCAACTGCTGAGCCGTCTTTCCAGTCGCTCAGTCCACTTGAGATGATGATTTTTTAATCATCAATGAGATATACGATGTGGACAAAAATGCTGTTCTAATATTACAGCTGTTTCCCATATTTCTCTCAGACCTTGAAATCGGGACATCCATGATCTAATTCTATGAAAAGGATTGGAGAAAAAGTGGTACCTGTCATTCTGGTGTTAGAAATGCAAATGATAGTCTTCCTTGGCCAGGACATTTGAGTGAATATGTGGAAAGAAATTTCCGTTTTTTTTAAGTAAGCTGAAATGTACATAGAATGCCAGAGGTCAGAAGTAAATCATAGAGGATAGTTTTAAAGAGGGAAGATTCTTACAATGTTTTTTTTTTCCAGATGACCCATGAAATGTCATCTTTTCCCTTTTTACTTTTTACTTTTCCCTTCTCAGTCTCCTCAGGGCCACCACTCTACACTCTTTGCCATGGGTGCTTATGTGTCACTGTTCAAGGATTTAGAACTAAATCTACCCCCCACACACACACACACACTCAACTAGTGTTAACTTGGACCTTTGCCTCAAATCCCAACCTAATCTCTGTCAAACTAGTGGCAAGGTAATATGACTGGGCTATCGGAATCCAGTTATTTTCCCCAGGACCTGGACCTGTGTCTTTAATGTCACCATAGGCATTGAAGAAATAGCTTTGCTTAAACCTATTAGTGTAGTAACAGGTGCTCATAATACAGAGACTGTGATTGCACCTCGTGTTTTCGATGCAAACCATCTGTTTGTGCTGTAAGACTGTCCGTTAGGTTATTACATCACCACTTTACTGTGGTCTTATTAGAAAGAACTGTTCATGGGCTTGGGATGCAGCTCTGTGGTAGAACACTTGCAAAACATAGTCAAGACCCTTGGTTTGATCCCCAGTACCTCAGAAATGAAAAAATAAAATAAGAACTAAAGAGGAAAAAAATAGTTTCCTCAGTTGTTTTGTTCTTTTAACTTCTACAAAATACTAAGTTTTAGATTATGTTTAGTAAAATGCTAAAGTATTATCATCTTTAAGGATTCTTAGAATGTAGGCAGTTGTATCAAAAATAAATATAAGCTTCAAATGGTTGCCCATATCCAACCAAAAGAATACAATGCATCATGAGTTTTCTCTTAAAGATTGTTATTCATCTATATAATATATGGATTAACTTGAAACATCAAAAGTAACATGCTCATTTTAGTCCAAAGAATCAAAATAAAACAGGGCTAATAAAATCAGTAATGTAGGGGCCAGGAAAATAACCCAGTCATTAAAGCCCTGGCCATGTAATCATGAAAACCTGAATTTGTACTCGAAGCACCCACATTAAAAAGTGTGGTGACATACCCCAGTATTCCTAGCGCTGGGGTGGGGGTGGGGGCAAATGCAAGAGGATTCTCTCAAGCTCTCTGGTAGCTAGCATTGCCCAGTCTGTGAACTTCAGATTCAAAACCTCAGGATGGAGAGCATAGAGAAAGACATGGACCATTGTCCTCTGGTCTACACACAAACATACACACATGAGCGGATGCCCCTGCCCACAGGTCTTTAAAAACACTTTAGATTTTCACGTTTTCTTCTAGTGTATCTAGTACATATTTCACATCGCTGACATTTCTTGGTAACTCTTTCTCTTCAGTTAGGATAATATTTTTACATATATCCCATTGTAGGACACCTGTATGATCGTATAAAGAGCAGTTCTTCAGAAATTCTGGGAGCTAGTGAATCCATAAAAAAGTCTAAGAAGGTAAGTGAAATGAGTTTTGTGATTTGGTGTTACGACTGAAGTACTGAAGTTCCATTCTACTTTTTCTAAGTTAATCTACATCCTATGAGTTCCTTAATGAGTTTTATAACCCCCAATATGCAAAGGGTTTAAAGTAGTAGTTCATGTTTTTAGTAAGTTAGCTTTCTTCTGTTATCTTTTGCTTGGTAGAAATATTTACCCTTATTTTTTACTTGTATTTTAGATGGGTACATTATAAATAGCCTGAAAAGCTGGATTTTTACTTTGAATGTTTTCCATGTATACCTAATGTCTGGAACTAACCAATGTTCTTATCTCTTTCTCAAATAATAACAGAATCTTCAAATACTTTTCTGCCTTACCCTTTCTTTCCCATTGTACAAATACTGTACCATATTGTGTTGTTACGTGCTTTTGATACCATATGCTTTGCTCACCGTTGCTTTTTACTTCTCAAATGTTCTTTCTGGGATCCTTATGCACCCTGAAGAATCTTTTGGAAGTTCTTTTCAATAGATGTCTTTTGGTAGTTCATGCTTTTAATTTTCTGTCGGCTTGAGTGTATTTCTATTTAATCCTAGTTCTTGAGTGATATATAGTATGGCTAGTTGGCTTCTCTTGTACCTGTTGCAATTGCTGCTATAAGAATATTATTCTAGAGGTAGATTAAGGGTATAACTCAGGTTTAACAGTTGCCTAGTATGCTTGAGACCCTGTATTCCTTTCCCAGCACTGCAAAATAAATATTATTTTTGGATAATTGTTGAGAGCTTTGTATATAACCTGTAATTTTAATCTATGCTTGTTTTTTAGATTATTTTTTGTTTGTTGTAGCATGCCTATATATCTATTTTTTTATTTTAGTTTAGTGGAAATTTATCATGACTCATGAATTTGAGAAGTCATTTAATTTATATTTTTAAGATTTGTTATCTATTATGTATTTGAACATTGTACCTTTTTTAAGAATATGACATAAATATTTTCTTTCTCTTATTTTTAATATCAATTTAATATTTATTATGTCTCTTGATACGTTGAGCAATTTACTGGGTTTTATTGACTTTATATTTCCTCTTTTGCTGAGACTGTTCTGATTTTTAGCATAGGGTACTAATTTCGATGGGGTTTTTTTTTGCATTTTAAAAAAGATTTTTCTTTTCTGTATGTGAACATTTTACCTGTGTGCATCATATGCATGTATTGTCCATAAAGGCTAGTTACACTTTCCTAACTTAGTGACATATGCATGTATTGTCCATAGAGGCTAGTTACACTTTCCTAACTTAGTGAGAGATTTTTTGCTGTTTTGTGGTGGAAGTTTTTCAAGATGGGTTCCCTTCAGTATAGCAAGTAAAGGGGTACCTCCATTTTAATCCATAAACCTCCTGCCAGAAGTCTTTATAGATTGCATCTTACTCACTTAACTCCATCTTAAGATTTAAAGGAAAGTAGTATTATTAGCTTCATTTTGATTTCTGAAAGAGGTGCATGCAACCTCATAAAATGTTCATTTCTTGTGTTTATCCTAGCTTTGACATCTCATCAAAAGCATTATTTTTATGATAGCTCTTTGAAAGATACTGATTTCTTCCAAGATAAATCTTCAAAGGTCCTAAGTCAGATGAGACCTTTGTCCTCAGATGACGGTCTTCCCGGCTGTGTCCTTTTATATATAATATACTATATATTATATATAATACCCTTGTTATTATATTTTCCTTTCCTCCAAGCTGCCTTAGTTTTCCAATTTTGGCCCTACAAACCTCAGGCCTCAGGGATAGCTTGCCACATCTGCCTGCCTCTCACTCATTGCTCCTCATCAGCCTTTCCTAAACACCCTTCTGTGTCTGCCAAGGATCCCTGGTATTTTTATCTGTCATCTATGTTCTGCATGCCCAGTGCTGGCATCCCAGAGCAGCCCCTCCGTCTCTCCCACTGATGACTCAGGCCTACAAGCATTGCACAGCGTTCATTTGGCAACCCTAACAGTTTTTGAGAGCTTCTGGTCTCAGGAATATGGAGGTATGCCCTCCTTTTCTAGAATGTCACAGCAGAAATGATTTGTAGTTAAGGGACATCAGTGATACCAGAAGTCCCCAAATGATCCAGTCTTCTTACATTAAATGTTAACACTGAGTGATTTCATTCTTGAAGAACCATGATGGTATGTTCTGGAGATATTGTTAGTGTTGAAAGGTATATCCTGAAAGGTCTAATTTTTGTCATCGTGGCTTTCTGATAAAAGGGGAAAATTTGTATAGATACTAAGGACATATTGTTGTATATGTATATACCTTAAAATATGATTAGTTTGTGCTCATATCTGTTAACAATTATATCCCTGTGTGCCTTCTGAATACTTTACTTACTGAAATGAAATCTTTTTGTTTGTGTGTTTTTGCTAGATTTCCTTCTTTAACCGGATGTCATTGACAGGGCAGAAAATGATGCAAAATACTAATGACCCACTCCCAGAGACAAAGCCAATAGGAGATCAAATAGCCTTACAAAGTGATAAGAAAGATGCCAACCAGAACCACATGGGTCAAAATCTTCGGAATACTGCAACACCAACTATGGAGGGGAAGTCCAAATCCTGTACAATACTATAAATGTATGTTTATGTTTCCATGGTCACCGAGCACATTTGTTCTTCATACTTGAAAAATGTTATGACTTCTGAAGGAAATTTCCTAATAACACTGTTTTAAAAAGATAAAAATTAATGTTTGGCTTGGTTTGAACAGTATGAACAGCTTTAATATTTATTTATGTTAATATTCTTAACAAGCAGTTTCCAAAATATTGTGCCTCCAACCCTCCTTGAAGTGTTCTGGCCTTAACTGTTCAGTGTTGCATAAAACAATATATTTTTGTATTTGAAAACTGAATGAAGATATTTCATAGTTTTGCTAACATAGTTACCATTCTTTGTAATTTCCTAAGGCAATGTTTACGATCTTACAACACTGGAACAGTTTTGAATATATTACAACATTTTAAAACAGGCAAAATTGTGATTAACTTATTTTAATAAATCATAACTGGTTACTCCTGCTGTTAAAATGGATAAGGTACTTTGAATTATCAATAAGGGTCAAAAATTTTCTAATTTTGAAAATTAAAGGAGGAGGCTGGAGAGATGGGGCATTTGATGATCTTACACAGGACTTCAGTTTAGTTTCCAGCTGATCGCCCCAACGTGGGGCTCACAACTGTCCATAACTTTAGTTCCAGGATAATCTGATGCCCACTTCTGATCCCTGCAGGTACCCGGCAGGCACATGGTACACAGACATACTTGTAAGAAAGTAATCTAAAAAAAAAATCTCATTTTTTAATCAAAGGACACAAAATATCTTTAACCCTTAACAAAGATGTGCATCATCTACAAATTTGTTCAGTTTTGACCCTGAGAGCCCAAACAGTGAGGCTTGCTCATTTCAGCTGTCTCTGGCCACTGATGACATGTGCTGCCTTGTGACCTGAGCAGCACGCAGTGCACAGTCATGGTAAAGCTACAGATCCGCTCTGACAGCGAAGGATGAACCCCTTTTCCCATCCTCCCTGTCACTTCCCCCATCCTTCCTTGTAAATGAAACATGCCACTCTTCAGCAGTGACCACTGGCCCATTTAAGCAAAGGAAATGGACCCCAATCTTGGTATTTTTATCTACAGGGTGAAAAAAGTGTTGATCCAAAGTGAATTTGCTTTATAAAATCTTAAAAATAGTTTTGTGAGTGAATATTACACTTAGTAGATTTCTTATTTTATGAAAGGCAAATACAATTTCAAAGCTTGGCTTGTTGAAGCTACAATGCCAGTATGATATTGTAAAGTATCTGAAACAAACTGTAAGAACTGAGTGGAAGAAAAACTCAGAAATGGTACTAAGACATGCTATTTATAGTAGATATACTTCTAAAGTGACCCCTGAGACTCGTGTTGGTGCCAGATCCCCTGAATAATCCTTTCCCACTGAATATGGCTGAAACCAGTGACAATGTTGGCTGTCACTTCCTCCCTTGTGTTACCAGGTTTCTTAGAAAGATTTTGCAGATGTAATAAAAATTCATAGTCACTTGACATTAAGTTAGACATTCAAAAGGAGTTCATCACAGATGGCCCTGACTGAAGCAGGTGAACCTCATCAAAGAGTCTTGAGCAGTCAAACATAGACGCAGTCAGAACAGTTCAAAACAGCAGAGATCCTGTTGTCCTAGAAAACACAGACTGCCATCTTTATGGAGAACACCTTATACCAGAGGCTGTGGGACAGCGTCGAGGATCTGAGGGCTTGCCATTCTGCAACAGCTGGGAACTGAATTCTACCCACAACCAGTGAGCCTACGAGAGGAGCACAGCTCTCAGGTTCGATTGTAGCCCTGGCTGGCACATTGACTGCAGCCTTTGGAGACTGAGCAGAAGACCCAGTGGAGCAGGGCTCACACTCCTCACCACCAGAAATCCTAAAACCATAGGCACATAGAAGGAATTTTTAGCTACTAAATTTATGGGGGCTGTCTTTAAAATTTTATAACAATTTCTCTCTCTCTCTCTCTCTCTCTCTCTCTCTCTCTCTGTGTGTGTGTGTGTGTGTGTGTGTGTGTGTGTGTGTGTGTGTGTGTGTAAACTTAGAAAGGGCTAAACCATAGTTACATACCAAATTTGGTCAGTCAACTTGAGATCTCTGGTTGTTTTTCTGCTTTTCTCTGTTTTAAGTGAAGTGCATTGCTTTGGTAAGAAAATAAGTTTACAGGTAAATCATGTTGAAATAATTAGGCATTAGATTTATCTTGGATATAATAATCACTAATTTGAAATTAAGTTTGAATCAGGAAATAATAATTTAATAGCTAACTAGAAAAAGTATGATTCACCTGCAATAATTTCAATTTTTTAAATTTATTTATTTATTAAAAATTTCCACCTCCTCCCCACCTCCATTTTCCCTCCCACTCCTCACCTCCCCCTCCCTTTCTAGTCCTAAGAGCAGTCAGGGTTCCCTGCCCTGTGGGAAGTCCTAGGTCCTCCCCCCTCCATCCAGGTCTACAAAAGTGAGCATTCAAACAAACCAGGCTCCCACAGAGTCAGTCCATGCAGTAGAATCAAAACCCAGTGCCATTGTCCTTGGCTTCTCAATGAATAAAATGTAGTGAGTTCCAGGCCAGTCAGGACTATATATAGTGATTTCCTGCCTCCAGACCAAAGAAAAGAAAACAAACATAGATGGTTTACCCATAAAGTCTCACCAATGTGATTGCCAAAATATGAACTGAGCAAGGATGACACCAATGAATATGCCGAACTGTACAGGGGGAAAATGTCAGGAGGCCTCATCTCAACACACAATGCTATACGCAACTGAGGAAAGCTGGGAGAAGAGGTGACCTTTCCCAGGGAAGAGCACATCAAATGGTTGATTAGTGCCAGAGTCAGCTCTGAAAACATACATACAGATAACATTGTACAGACTGAGCAGTTTATAGTTTGAAATATGTATACCTATTCGTATACATACATGCATGCAATAACAATTAGTGAAAAAGAGGGGCCATGAGTTTGAAGGAGAGTGGGGAGGGTTCTATGTGAGAGTTTAGAAGGGGGAGAGGGAAGGAAGAAATATTATAATTATGATCTCAAAAATCAAATTTTTTAAAATCAAGAAAAAGTAATGGCATTTAAATGTGCTGAAACAACAGCTAAATTAGAATTCTATAGATGGAAATTTTGTTTCATGTGAATAGAGACATTTCAAGATAAAAGGTGAGATTTATCTATAGCAAGTTCACACTAAAGTGGTAGTAGATATTCTTGTGCTCCTAAGGCAATGACTCTTAGTCAGGAGGAGTATTCCCCTTCCCCAGAGGAGATCTAGCAGCCCCTGGAGACACTTTTGGTTGGCACAGGTCAGGGAAGGCAGAGAGAAGATGCTCAGCATCCACTGAGTACTGGTGGGGATGCTGCAAAGCAGCCCCTCCAAACTCAGCTCCCTCCAGCATATCTATAATACTGACATTTCCAATAGCCTGTCCCAGAGAAAGCAAGTTAGGTTACCACAGAAAACACTTAAATATTTTATAGCAGCTTCATTCACAATCCCTGGACGCAGAAAGAACAACCTTCAACAGGGAATAGAAAGCAAACTGTAGGAGGTCTGTGGAAGCTAATACTTCACTATAAAAAGACATACACTCTTGACATGTGCTCCCACCCATTCACATGAATATGAAACATGTCTTCACAGCTTCCCTACTGTATGCTTCTGTTTCTGTGGTGTTATCCCATACATAAAACTGCAACAATGAGAAACAAATCCACGATCAAAGGGGGCTTAAGGATGTGACTTCAAAGAGCACTGGCCAGTATTTTGGAGAAACTGGTCCCCATTCTTACCTGGCTGGTTACTGTATGAAACCAGAATGTGTGCAGTTCATAAAACTATAACGCTAAACTGTTTCATTGAGTTACATGTTGATTTAAAAATTCATAAAATGAGTAAACCTTAAATAACCCAGTTCGATAAAGTAAATCAAATGGATCCAAAGCAATGAGGTAAGAGCCATAAAACTCAAGGAAGTGACAAACATCTATGCCTTGCTTGATTCTCATCCAGTAGGTCAAATGGAGTCATTTGGGGAATATGCACTTTTCACGAACTGCTTATGATGCAGCAACAGGAATAGAGAATCACCATGCTTTTCCAGAATGTTGTATCTCACAAGCTGACTCCTACTAGCAATTAACAAAATGTCCACATTTCTGTCCATGAGAAACAATTGTTGCATTAATGTATATTGTTTGAAGGCTGTAACAAAGTATTTTCAAAGCTGAGTTGTTGTTTAGCATTGTAAAATTTAAAATGTGAGATGTCATAATTCACCAAAGATATGAGCATGGCCTTGTCATTCAGGAACCTGGATTCTGATCATCCAGTAATTTTGGCATTTTCAATTGTTTTAATCTACAGGCCTGAAAGTAGCATGTGTACTTTTTTCCACATTCCATTGGAAATGTGCCCAACATTTTGCATGGAAAATTAGAAAATGTAGGCTAATTTATAAGCTTAGGAAGACAAGAAAGTTGTCATAATTAAATATTCTTACTCTATGTGCCAATAAAAAGTGAATCCATGTGCTTTCACAATAAGCTAAATAAAGTAATGCAAAGTGATATAAGCTTCATTTTAAATGACAAAACAAAACTACTTAATTTCCAAGGCATAATTGTATTGTTGTGGGTTCCTCAAATTTGATTCTGAGGTTTCTCTGGAGAATGGCTATAGACTTAGTCCCACCCTCAAACGAAGATGGCCTTGGTTGTGGACAGTGTACCTTTTACTGGATACTTCCTATTTGACTATGAACACACCTAGAAATGTGTGTATACTAGTAGACATTGTTATCATTCATATGTTATCATTCATAGCAGTATAACCCTCACAGGACCCCTGGCGGGTGGGAGACGCTGGCAGGTGAGAGACAGACAGATGCGCCACGCAGAGAGAGCTTGGGTATAGAGTTTATTTAATGGGTAAGAGGATTATGGAGGAAAGAGGTAAAGGGGGGGGTTGAGATCAATTTGCCCCCGGGGGGGAGATTGGGGTGGGCGGAGTTTGTCTCTTAAAGGGACAGGGTACCCAGATTGTAATGGTTTTGCTTCAAGTCTCCGGGACTGCTGGGGACCCCGGCAACAAACGGATAGGCAGCAGGTGGGAGACACAGAGAAAGGCACACCATACAGAATGGAATTGGACATTTATTTGGTGTTGTGGAGGGGAAGGAAAAGGGGAGAAGGGGGAAGAGAGAGAGAAAGAAAGAGAGGGGGAGAGAGGCTGCCTCTCCGAAAGAGGGGACAGAGGAGAGAGAGAGAGAGAGAGAGAGAGAGAGAGAGAGAGAGAGAGAGAGAGGAGAGAGAGAGGAGAGAAGGCTGAGGCTACAAGCAGGATGGGAGTGGGTGTGGTTTGTCTCTTAAAGAGGCAGAACATTACACAGGTGACAGGGAAGGTCAGCAAAATGATAACATTTACATCTTTCTCTTATAATAAAAA